TTTTTTTTTTTTTTTTTTTTGGTACCAGGATCAAATTCAGGACCTTGCACTTGCCAGGCAGGTGCAATGCTACTGAGCTAAATCTCCAGCCCTCTTTTGTTCTTTTGAGACAGGGTTTCAATATGTAGCCCAGGCTAACCTTGAACTCATGGGGATCCTTCTGTTCCAGCCTCCCAAGCTGGGTTTACAGGCGTGTACAGCCATGCCTGGCTTCTTAAGGGACTCTGTAGGTCCTGTAACACTTTGGTCTTTACCCCAAGAGAATGGGAGCTATTACAGGGTTTAAACAGGGATGTGACAGCATCCGATTTATTTATTTATTCATTTATTTGGTACTGGGGATTGAGCCCAGGGCTTTTGCACTAAGCTACCTCCCCAGCCCTTTTTATTTGGAGACAGAGTCTCACTAAATTGCTAAACAGATTTGTATTTAAATAGGTGACTACAAGGGGAGGGGTTAGCTGAGTGCTGGAGTGTGTGCTTAGTATTCACAAGGCTCTGGGCTCAATCACTGGCATCACAAAAAAAAAAGGAGGAAAAAAACCCCAAAAGACTGTGGCTGTAGCATGGGAAATGGACTGCAGGGCACAAGAACAGTGTATCAGTCAGCTATGCTGTGATAATGCTGTGTGACAAACAACCCCAAGCCTCAGGGGCTGTGGTGGCCATGACTCATCATCAGGTCTGGCTGCAGATTAGCATGAAGTCGCCTCCACCAAGGCAGAGGAATAAGAGTACCAAGTCCAACTGTGGAATGCATGGCAGGCCCTGTGGGAGGCACAGGGCCATGTGGCAGGAAGCACCCGGCAGCGGGCAAAGGGGGCTGCAAAGAAATGTTCTCTGAGTGACACTACTGTATGCCCCACAGCTATGGTCAGGCATTTTCCACACTGATGGCAACCAGTAATGGTAGAGCCTATTGTTTTCCTTATCCTGAGGCACTTCGGTTTAGACGCCAAACAACCCCCAATAATTTTCCCTAACATGTATAGTACAATACCAATGGGTCAGCAGTGTAGAATTACTTCATCATCTGAAGAATAGCTTGAGACCCTGGAGCCCAGGTTTCCCCTGAGCAGTATGCGTATGGGCACAGTGTGGGAGGACTTCCAGGTGGCCAGGGCACGGCTTCGACAGTAAGTGATATTAGCTGAGTGTGGTGGCACATGCCTATAATTCCAGCTACTTGGGAGGCTGAGGCAGGAGGACTGCACCTTCAAGGGCAGCCTGGGTAATTTAGTAAAATCCTGCTTTGACATATAATAAAGGCTAGGGGTAGGGCTCAGTGGTAGAGCACTCACCCAGCAAGCATGAGGCCCTGGCTCCATCCCCTGATGGAAGCAGGGCAGTTTTCAGAAATACTATTCCCCTTCTGTGTTTCTTCGTAGACCTGGGTTTCCTTCCATCGGGGCTGGCTCTGCCTTGCCCAAGAAGAATGCTCACTCTTCTGCCAAGGCTACCAGTTCTATAGCAGGGTCCTGATGGAGGAGAGAAAGGCACGGTGGGTACTCAGTTTGCGATGGATGGGGCTGGCCCAGTGCTATGTACGGGTATTCTCAGTAGATTTTGTTGCTTTGTTTTATTTTTGTTTTTTGTTTTGGTACCGGGGATCGAACTCAGGACCTTGAGCTTTTGAGGCAGGTGGCAGAACCACTGAGCTAAATCCCTGGCCCCATTCTCAGTAGATTTTAGGTGATTATTCTGACAAGAAAATCTAGCCAGGTGTGGTGGCACACATCTCTAATTCTAGCACTTGGGAGGCCGAGGCAGGAGGATCACCATGAGTTTGAGGTCAGCCTGTGCTACAGAGACCTTGTCTCAAAGAACACACACACACACACACACACACACACACACACGTGCGCATGCACACACACGGAAATCTTTTTTTTCTTTGGAGATGATCTCGTTATGTAGTTCAGGCTGGCCCTGAACTCACACTGATCCACTGATCCTCCTGCCTCAGGCTCCTGACCTGGCTAGTGCCTATTTCAAGTCCCATACCTTCTCTCACACCCCAGGCATGGCTTGCACTGAGGCAGCTGGGTGAGACCCACGATCATACCCTAAGAAGCTGGTCTTGCTGGGCCAGGAGTGTTTTCTGTAGGGGTGCAGGACTGGGAGAGTTCCTGGGACTTGGGGGCATCCTGGGGAGTGAAAGGGGACTATTTTTAGCTGATGAAGTAGAGGCAATTGGCCTGGAGAATCCAAAGACTAGCCGTATCTTAAATGAGCCTTAATGAGAAGCTGGACTGAGACAGCTCCAGGCTCTGGGGTGCGGAGGAGCCCTTTGCCCACTCCTGGGAGATAAAGGGCTGCTGGGTGGAGCTCTGCAGGGAGTCTGCTCTTCTAACTAATTGGTGACTAAGTACAGATGGAATATAAAGGGACACTAATAAGCAGAAAATCTTTCTTAGGGAAGAGAAGCCGGCCCTCCAGCAAGCACACAGGTGACAGGAAATTTTAAAGCAAACTGGAGCAGGCAATTTCCATTTAATTTCTTCCCCAGGAGGAGATGCATGGGAGCAACAGGCTGGCTTTAATTTGCCTTCCTTGGCTGCGGGGTGGTGACACCTGGAGAGGGGCCTGCAGTACTAACCCTAAGTTCCCACCAAGCCCACACCTGCTGTCAGGATGTCCTGGCCAATACAAGAGCACTTTGGCCCAATGTACATCATTAAAAGAAAACAAAACACAAAAGGGGATTTACCTCACCTCCAGGAAGGAAAAGGCGGGGGAACAAAATTAGACTTTCTCCACGTTAGGTCCTTCTGGCTACTTTTCGACCTTCATTTCCCTTTCCTTCAAATGTCTTAACTATGAACACAAACTTCCCTTAGTCAAGCCAAACATAACGCCCCCTTTTTTACTTTTTGGTTTGTTTTTAAGTTTTTGGTTTTTTTCCAGTACAGGGTATTGAACCTAAGGCTTTCACACTGAGGTACAGCCCCAGGCTTTTAAAATATTTTTGAAAGAAATCTATTTATCATCATGTTTATTTGCAGCACTGGGGGTTGAGCCCAAAGCTTTCACACTGAGCTATCCTCTAGCCTTTTTTTATTTTGAGACAGAGTCCCTGTTCCAGCCTCTTAGAGTGCTGAAACTTCAGGTGTGAATTACCATCCTAGCTTTAGCGTTCTTAAAATGTACTTTACATGATTTAAAATATTTTAATGATAGTATTATTTTGCTTTTACACAGTTTTGGTTTTTTGTTTTTGTTTTTGGTACTGGGGATTGAACTCAGGACCTTCTGCTTGCAAAGCAGGTATAGTTTTTATAGTTTCTTATACTTCAATTTCAAACAAACTTATACATGGAATAGCTATTCTTCACAAAATCTCAGCATGAATGAATGTGGAGCTACATGACAAGCAGGATAAAAAGCAGGTATAAAAAAATGATAGAATATTAGAAATGGAATATTCTGTGGTGCTGCACACCTGTAATCCCAGCACTCAGGAGGCTTCGGCAGGAGGATCACCACAAGTTCAAGGCCAGCCTGAACTACATAATGAGACCTTGTCTAAAAAAAAAAAAGGGCCAGGGATTTAGTCAGTGGTGCTGATGCCTGCCTCGGAAACGCAAGGTCCTGAGTTTGATCCCTGGTACTAAAAAAAAAAAAAAGGAAATGGAATATTTTAGGGTAGAGGTGTAACTTAGTGAAAGAGCATTTGCCTAGGATGGGTGGTGAGGCCCTGGGTTCCATCCCCAGCATTAGGCCAGGTGTGGGGGCTGTATTCTTATTTTCTTCCATCTAAAATTCTTCAGAATAGCTTAATAATAAATACCTTAATGATGTAGGTACTTTATCAGATTGGTTAAAGACCAAGTACAGCTGGGTGTGGTGGTGTACACCTGTGATCCCAGCACTCAGGAGGCTGTATGTCCCCAGCAAGACCAGCAGGAATAGCACTGTGTACACGGGCCTATCTGCCAAAGTGGGAGCCAAGGCCAGGAAAAGTACATGGCAAGATCCTGTCTCAAAAAAACAAGAAACAAACAAAAACAACAAAAAGGAACCTTTTCCAGCATTATCCTCACTCAAAATAGTCACTCTCCTTGACCTTTTTCATTGCTTTTTTCTGGAACTGGGGATCAAACTCAGGACCTTGCACTTGTGAGGCAGGCTCAGTGCCACTGAGCTAAATCCCCGGCCCCATTTTTGGATTTTTTGAGACAAGTTTTCACTATATAGTTCGACTTGGCCTTGAACTCATTATGTGTTTTGTTTTGTTTTGGTACCAGGGATCGAACTCAGGTCCTTGCAGTTCCGCAGTAGGCGGTGAAACCACTGAGCTATATCCCTGGCCCCTTAAACTCACTATGTGCTAGGCTGGCCTCAAACTCGCAGTGATCCTCCTGCCTCAGCCTTCTGAGTGAGTGCTGGGATTACAGGCGGCCGAGATAATAACTGACTGACCTCTTACAGAAAATGATTTGACTGCTATATTAGGTATGGAACCCAGAGCCTAGAGCATGCTAGGCTCACGCTCTACCACTGAGCTACACCACAGCCTCATCAGTTTTAATTGTAGCAAACGACCAAGGCTGTAGGCAGTGACCTCCTAGGCAAACTACCCAGCCTTAGGATTCTTGCCCAGGCAGCCTCCAGCCTGTCCACTTGTTGCGCCTGTCTGGAATAGCATGGCCTCGCAGGCGAAAGCTCTGAGAGCAGTGCTGCCCCCTGGCGTCCAAGGCCCTGTCAGCAACAAAGTCTCAGCTTTGTTATCTCTGGAAGGAGACCAAGGAGGACAGGAGGCCAGTTTTCTGGGACTGTCTACAAGACCCCGTTTTTACCCTGCGTTTTGTAACTTGATGAAATCTTTCTCCAGTTTCTGAGATCTTTTTACTTGTAGGACCAGACAGAATGGAAGCAAGTGCATCTTGCAGTTTGTTCATGGGGTCTGTGGGAATGCAGTTTTAATTTCCATACTAACAATGGAAAACATTTCAAATTACCCACCACGCACTGTAATGAGACACCATTTCAGGGGTATAGTTGCACAATCTTTATTTCACTAAAGACAACCTTTCCTTAGGTAAACGTCTTCAAAAGCAGGTCTCACAAAGTTAACAGTCCACTCATCCCAACTCCAACTCCTCCCTGGGAATAACCCCTTAGAGCCCTCAGTTTCACCCTAAGAACCTGCCCACCTGGAATAGCTATTTCACTAGGCCCAGGATAAAAACTAAATGCTAAAACCCAAGAATTGTTTGACGTGATTAGGTTTCATTTAGCAGCACTTCTGGATGCTTCCTCACTTGGAGCTTACTTTGCTTCAGCCCCAGTTCTTTGAGAAATGCAGAACCTCACTAAAATATTAGCTTGATCCAAGAACGTTGAAAAGGTCGCTGCCTCAGTGAAACTGAGCCCTCCAACTTCCGGGGACCTAGAAACTCGCAAAATGTGCACCGGAACCATGGCCAACAGGCCAACCAATGACTGTAAGTGCACAGAACTCACTTTTCAACTGATTTTACTGAACGAGTACCAAGTTTGTGAAGCACAGTGAGTCACATGGTCCTTGGAGGAGCTCTTACACAGTGGGCCAGCGCCAAAGCGGGGGGGGGGGGGGGGGCGGGGCAGGGGGCGCTTGTGCAGTTCTGCGGAAGATAGCAATGCTCAGTAACCCAAGAGGTAGGTCTTATTATCCCCGTTTAGGGGGAAGGGTCACACAGACAAGACTGTCAGTGTCTTGCTGGGTGCTACGCATCTGTGGTCTTCTAAAGGCAGACAGATTTACACTGAACACATTACTGTGATTAGTGACAAAATGTTTGGCCAAAGCTGGTCTTAAAGTTGGAGGAAGGCCAGACATGGTAGTACAGACCTGTCATCCCAGTACTTGGGAGGCTGAGGCAGGAGGACTGAAAGTTCGAGTCCAGCCTGGGTCACTTTGTGACTTAGCAAGACCGTCTCCCCTCAATCCCCCCCAAAAGGGGTGGGGATCCAGCTCAGTGTGAAGGTCCTGGTGTTCATCAAGTCCCAGTAGTGAAAAAAAAAAAAGTTTAGGGGGAACTGAGATTAAGGACTTCAGGTTCATATAAATCCCTTTCAAATGCAAAGTTCTCCTGTCCTGGTTTACTTGGGGGAAAGCAGAGAAGAATCTTTTTTTTTGGTACCAGGGATCGAACTCGGGTCCTTGCAATTTCAAGGCAGGCAGCAGAAGCACTGAGCTAAATCCCCGGCCCAGAAGAATCTTGATATGGCGTAAGAAACAAACATACCAATCCCATTTGTAGAAATATGCCCAAAGGAATTGAAAATAGATATTCAAACAAATACTTGTACACAAATGTTCCTAAGAGCATGATTCATAGTAGCCAAAAGGTGGAAACTCATATGTTCATGAACAAGTAAACAGATGAACAGAAGGTGGTCCCTCTACCATGGAATATTATCTGGCTGTAAAAAGGGATGCAGTACTGCAAAGAGCCTGCTACATGAGAAAAGCAAGACACACAAGAAGGTCACCTCCTGTGTGATCTGTTTATGGGAAAGAGCCGGAACGGGTGAATCCACAGTTGCTGGAGGGCTAGGAGAAGGCAGTGGGGACTGAGCTTCTAGGGATGGATGGTCCCTCTGAGGGCGCGGGAGTGTTTCAGAACAGGACACTGGTGAGAGCTGAACACAATTGTTAGCACGGAATTGTACCCTATGAAGTGGTGAATGCCATGTTATGCAGGATTTCACCTCCATTAAACAAACACAAAACAATGAAATAGCAGTAAATGACCATAAAGACCTAGATGAATAGCAGGTAATTTAGTTTTTCTCAGTTTGTCACAATTTTGGTGATTTTGTTTTGCACACTGTACTGGGGATTAAACCCAGGGTCTTGCTCCTGTTACATCACCAGGCCTCAGTGAGTTTTTTATGGTCGTAAACCAGTATATAAAAAACAACCCATTAGCTGGGCACAGTGGCACATGCCTATAGTTCCAGCTTCTCAAAAGGCTGAGGCAGGAGGATCACTTGGACCTAGGAGTTTGAGCCCAGCGTAGTAAGACTCTCCAAAAAGAAAACAACAATAAAGTGTTAAAAGTTTTCAGTAAGGCATTAATGTCGCTGAGGTCCTCTAATTTTTCTAGTTGGCAAAGCACCTAGTAGAATTTACAGTATACAAGAAGCATTAAAAATGTTGCAACAGGGCTGGGGATTTAGCTCAGTGGTTTTGCTGCCTGCTGCGCAAGCGCAAGGACCTGAGTTCGATCCCCGGCACCAAAAAAAAAAAAAAATGTTGCAACTTGTATAAAGTGCAAAAGAAAAGTAAAATAATAATATGACATGGAAGAATACAGAACAACCAAGGCCTGGGAAATCAGCGGATGTGCATGCACAGGACATGTCTGTGCAGTTAACCACGTGGGGAGATGTGGACACCCCGCGAGAAACCTGCTTTCCTCAGAACTCATTTTGTGTTCCCCGAAACTTCGGAGTAAATAGCAGTGTACTGTTCCCACTCATCCTGGCAGGAGGTCAGGCCCAGGGAGGCCTCTAGCTGCCACTTCCTAGAGCTGCCCTAGCAAAAGCACGTAGGTGGTTAGTTACTTGGAGACTCAACAGGGCGCCATTGTTCGGGGCAGAGATCCTGGGACACAATGGCCCCGTTCATGCCCCACTCCCAGGCAGGGGCATCCCTTGGAGCCCAGTCAGCTTTGGGCTGGACACTGAATTCTCACTGATGCTGACTTGCACACGTACAAGTTAATTATTTTTTGAAGCATTACAGAATAATGAAGTAAAATTAAACGGGCAATAAAGTGAGAGCTAACACACCTAACTTTTATCCCAGCTCCTTTTCTTGGTACTGGGGATCGAACTAGTGTCCTTGTGCTTGCACAGCAGGCGGCAAAACCACTGAGGTAAATCCCCGGCCCCCAGCTCCTTTTCTACTGTGACTTTAAGTAAATTGCTGATTTGCTCTTTCTTCTTTTTCTTTTAAAATTTCTTTTTTGCTGCTCTGGGAATCACACGCAGGGGGTTGTGCATGTTGGGCAGGCACAACATCTGCCCCTTGCTTGCTCTGAGGGTCAGTTTCCATTTTGTAAAATGAAAGTGATTTCTAAGATCGGTTAAGAGCCTGAAAGTCTAGGAATTCATGTTGGTCTAGTGATGCTGCAGCACTGTCCATACTCGGGAGGGAGAAAAGTGAAGGACAGAAAGGATCCTACCTCACATTTTCTTTTTCACTACCAGCACTTAGAATCAGGGAGTCTGCATAAAAACAAAGAAGTCGTTTTATGGTTTCTCTGGCACACAGACAGATAGTAAGGAGTGAAATCCAGCGTGTCCCTCTATCCCACCGCGGCCAGGATGCTCAGCTCGGCCCACACAGCAGGACGCCAACCAGCGCCACGCAAGCTGTGCGTCCTGTCACCCATTCTTAGGATGTAAATACATGTCGAGACTCTGTTTCTTTGCAATGACTCAAAATCCTCAGAAGAAAACCACCATTTACAGTAAGAAGGTAATTGATGTCACCAGCTGCCAAACTGTCATTTTTTTGCTTTTTCAACCTCACAACTTGCCAGAGCCAGGACTTTGTCTCCAGAGCCTAAGAGAGAGACACATAATAACAAGTTTATTTCCAACACATGCGCAATCCCACATAGAGAGGGGAGCACAGGATTGGCCACCATTGTCAGCATAGTCACCCCTGTACTTCCCGAGCCAGCCACAAAGACAGGCTTCTTGGTTATAAACTCTAACTCCAGCTCTAGACATGGAACACAACAAATTTCCAGTTCACCTTCCCAGTTATGCCTGATGGACACGGATCTGAAAACCTGAGGCAGCAAAGCTGCACATGCCCACAATCCGGCCACCCAGGAAGTAAGCTCTGGCTCACTGCAGCCCAGGAGTTTGTGCTGGCCTGGGACACACAGCCACACCTCATTTCAAAACAAAGATAAATACTGCCGGGAATGCAGCTCAGGGGCCCTGCACCTGCCTGGCAAGTGCAAGGTCCTGAGTTTGATCCCCGGTACAAACAAACAAAGGCAATTATTATTGAAAACAAAAAATTAGGCTGTATAATTTAATTCTATTTAACAGTATTGGGAAATAAAACCAATACAAAGAATTTAAAAAGAAAATAAAAAATAATAAATAATAATCAATTATGGTGTTACTGTAATTCAAGAGAATGCTGGGCCAGGGATGTAGCTCAGTGATGCAGTGCTGCCTTGAAACCACAAGGTCCTGATGTCGATCCCTGGTACCAAGAAAAAAAAAAACCTCAAGAAAAGGTCGTCACATGACTCACACGCTCTCTGTCCATGTGGAGCAGTAACCTGCTTCCCACTTTCAAAGGCAAGAGCGGGGATGGTGAGGGTGAAACTCAGCAGTAGAGCTCTGCTTGGCACCACAAGGCCCTTGATTTTAATCATCAGTGGCATCAAAACCAAACAAACACATTTTAAAACCACCTTTCCTTGGGCCGGGGATTTACCTCAGTGGTTTCACCGCCTGCTGTGCAAGTGCAAGGACCTGAGTTCGATCCCTGGTACCAAGAAAAAAACTACCTTTTCTTCATCCTTTCATCTGCTGATGGACATGTAGGCAGCTTCCAAGACTTAGCTGTCATGAATCAGACACACAAGCTTAAATTCTACATGGTTTCTCTTAGATGAGAAACCCAGAGTATAAATACACTAAGGAGCAACATAAATGACTGACAGTAGGAAACAGAAAGCCAGAACTTTTGCAAATGGGACCAAGAATGGACAGAAGGAGGAGGGAAGGAAAGTGAAAGAACTGAACTGTGTTACACACACACCAGCCCCCATGGTGAGTGTGATCACTGTGCACTGCTAACATGGGGAGATAAAAAAGAAGAAGGGAAAAGAAACAGGAGGGCACTCACCGAGGTCCGAGGAGACTTTCTCAAACTGGCTGAGGACAGCACCTGCGTTTGCGGACAGGAAGGCCTCGTCATCAGCAGTCAGCTAAGCAAAATGAGACAGAGCCCAGGTCCCATGGGGCTCAGGGGCCACAGTAAAGAACATCTCAGGGGGCGCAAACCCGAGCACAGGTCAGGAAGTCTGCCACAAACACATCCCACTCCTCCACATGCCCAAAGCCATCACTTAAATTCAGTACCTTCTCTCCGAGCTTCCGGAGCGCTGTGAGGATCTCCACTTTCTGCTGGGTGTACAGGTCTCGCTCCAGCTTGCCCACCATCAGGTCTCTGTCCATCTGGAGGCATGGCGCAGGCACATGGGAAGAGAAAACTTTCAGTGCATGGGAACCCAGCTTCCAGCTTCCCTTCTTAAAGAGAACTGTCGAGGTGATTTATATTATAAAGAATTAAGGGGAGGAGGGGGAAGGGGATGAAAAAAGAATTCAGATGTAGGGGCCAGGGATTTAGCTCAGTTGTTCCGCTGCCTGCCTCGAAAGCCAAGGACCCGAGTTCAATCCCCGGTACCCGCCCCCCCAAAAAAAGAATTCAGATGTGTTATGTCCCTGTACCAACTCCCCATGATGAATGTAACCATTACATACTACAAACATGTACTAAAAAAAAAGTATTATAAAGAATTATAAGTTGGTGTGATGGTGCATGCCTAGCATCCCAGCACTGGGGAGGCTGAGGCAGGAGGATCACCTCAAGTTCAAGGCCAGCCTGGGCTACATAGTGAGACCCTGTCTCAAGAAAAAGAATTCTAGGGCCGGGGATTTAGCTCAATGGTTTTGGCGCCTGCTGCAAAAGCACAAGGATGCAAGTTTAATCCCTGGCACAAAAAAAAAAAAAAAGAAAAAGAATTCTAGAAATGCTAGGTATGGTGGCACACACCTGTAGTCTCGGCACCCTGGAAGGCTGAGGGAGGAAGAGCACATGTTGGAGCCTAGCCTGAGAGACTCAGTGAGACTTGTCTCACAATGAAAAATAGGATTGGGGAGGTAGCTCAGTGTGAAGACCAAGAAAGAATTTTGGAAATACTCCAAGGCAAACATGACAGAAATGCCATTATGTAGTTTGTTTTTTTTTTGTACCAGGGATCGAACTTGGGACCTTGTGCTTGCGAGGCAGGCACTGAACCACTGAGCTAAATCCCCAGCCCTCCATTATGTAGTCTGAATAAATTTTAATGCTAATCGCAATCACCGTCTTAGTTATAAACTCTATGGAATGTTGGTAAGTCAACAATACCTTCCTTTGGAGAAGAGCTATCCTCTGATGACTAAGTTTTTTCAACTGAAGTATGGTCTACAGCAGAGGTGGGGAACCTATGGCACGTGTACGGCAGCCAGCTGTTTGTATTGCTGAAAGCTCTAAAAGGCTTGTCATCACTGGTCTATAGGCTTGAATGAGGTAAGTGAAACTTAATATTTTTCTTCCCATCAGAAACACTAATACATGTAGCATACATTGGTACTATTTTAAGTGCAATTAGATGTCTGTTTATTATTTACTTATTTGAGACAGGGTCTTACCATGCAGTCCAGGCTGGCCCCAAACTCACAGCGATCCTCCTGCCTCAGCCTCCCGAGTGCTGAGATTATAAGTGTATCCCATCACACCGGGGTCTCTAAGTGCTTTATTTTTTTCTTTCTTTCTTTTTTGTACCAGGGATTGAACTGAGGACCTTGTGCTTGCCAGGCAGGAACTGTGCTAAGTGCTTTAATTAATCAATTAATTTTTATAGTGCTGGGGGACCAGGGATTTAGCTCAGTGGCTCTGTGTCTGCCTGGCAAGCCCAAGGTCCTGAGTTCAATCCCTGGTACTGAAAAAAAAAAAGATATAGTGCTGGGGATTGAACCCAAGGACTTGCACATGCTATGCAAATTTTCTACTACTGAGCTACATGCCCAGCCCTATTTTTACAATTTTGTTTTTCTGAGATACAGTCTCCAATGTTGCCCAGGATAGCTTCACACTTCTGGGTTCAAGTGCTCTTCTTGCTCCAGCCTCTCAATTAGCTGGAAATATACATACAACCACACTTGGCTTCTCAGTGCTTTTACATACATTACTTCATTTAATCCTCATGATGACCACAAGAGACAGAAGTATTATTGTCACCTTTTTATATACAGGGAGGGAAAGTGAGGTACAAAGAATAAATAACTGGGCTGAGGATTTAGCTCAGTGGTGCTGTGCCTGCCTCACAAGCAAGCTCAAGGTCCCGAGTTCGATCCCTGGTACCGAAAGAAAAAAAAAAGAATAAATGACTTGCTAAAGGTCAAATATCCCTGTATGTGGAACAAGATTCAAGATTTTGTCAAAAAATTGTAGGCTGTGGATCTAAAATCAACTCGCGAATTTTTAACCTGTAGGCTAAACAATGAGCAAATTCTCAGGCTAGGAAGAAAACCACACACAGTGACTGGATCAATGAAAGAAACTTTACCTCTGCTAACCTTGTACGAAGCTGACCGGGTTGCTTCTTTGCAAACAATCTGATGACCTCTGGGGTTCTGAAGGACTGGCTGATGGCTGCCTGAATAGCCTAGAAGCAGGAAGGCAAAAGCCAAGCAAAACACACCAGTGAGTCAGATTTGCAATCAGTGCCTGGCCGATCTTCATGAATGGGTCTTTGTCCATCCAGACTGTTACAAAATCAGTTTTCATTTACTATTTCTGTGCCTGTCTCTGGAGCCACACACATAAGGAACTACCCTGGGGTGCAGTGAGTGGACATTCATCTAGAATCGCACCCAAGAGGGGACCATTTTCTACTGGAAATACACATATCTCAGAAGGAAAAAAGGAAACAGAAAATGCTGCTTACCAGTTGCATTCCACTTAGTTCATCCACCAACGTCATATTTCCAGACATAATTTTCTTCAGTGAATCATTAAATTCACTCAGCTGCTCCAGAGTTTCCTTTTTGGTCTCTTCATATTCATCTGTATCAAGTTCCTCTCTGAGGTACAGCGAGCACCAAAATACAGAAAAATATAGAGTTCCAAAGGGAAAAAGCAATCTTAGTGCTTGCCAGAGAAAGGCTGAAGGGAAACAGCACAATGCTAAGGACGGATGGATCCAGAGTCAGAGCATGGTCATGGTCATTTTCTCGCAATGTGTTTAGTTTGATAGTAAAACATTTTTCTTTTACCAAAATCAGTCATATTTAACAAACATACAATAAATTCCTTTTTTTTTTTCTTCAAAGACCCAGGGCCCTTGGCCTGAATGAATGCTATATTCCCAGGTTTGTTTGGGTTTTTTTTTGCTTTTTGAGGCTGCATCTCCCTGTGTAGCCCAGGCTGGCCTTGAACTCATGGCAGTCCTCTTGCCTCAGTCTGCCCAGTGCTGGGATTATATGTGTGCACCACCATGCCTGGCCCCAGCTCTTTTATTTTTATTTTATTTATATATATATATATTTTTGAGACAGGGTCTTGCTATATAGTTCGGGCTGGCCTTGAACGCATTATGTGCAGCTTTTTTCTTTTCTTTTTTTTTTTTGGTACCAGGGATTGAACTTGGGTTCTTGTGCTTGCGAGGCAGGCGGCGGAACCACTGAGCTAAATCCCTAGCCCGCATTATGTGCAGCTTTGACTGGCCCCAAACTCAAGGCAGCCCTCCTGCCTCAGCCTCCCGAGTGCTGGGATTACAGGTGTGAGCCACCAGGCCCAGTTTAAAAACATGGCTTCCACATAGTACTATGTAGTTGTTGGGTTTTTCACAAGAACCTCAGCAGGCCCTGAGGCCTGCTGTTAACCCTGTGCAGATTAGAAGGAAAGAGCATACCAAAGTCATGTTGGATGCATGGCTGACTTATTTCTAACAAGGACTTGGAGTGGCCAAGAGTAAGGTAAAAAGAAAAAAACACCATGAGGCCAGGCATGGTGGCGCAGGCCTGTAATCGAAGCACTCAGGAGGCTGAGGCAGAAGGATTGCTGTGAGTTCTAGCCTGGGCTATAGAGTGAGTTTAAGGCCAGTCAGAGATACATAGCAAGATCCTGCATCAAAAAAACAAAACAAAAAAAAAAACACCACCAAAAGAGCCCTGGAATGGAGGCTGAGCTGCCGCATCTTTCTGTTGTCTGCCAAGGAGCTGGCGCCTGAGCTGCTGCCCTATGTCCTTTGCTATGTCTGCTGCAGGACAGTCTCAGAGCCGACCACTCCTCAGCGACAGCCACTCCCCAGTGATGGCACTCAGTCAAGTGAACCACGGCCCCCAGCTCCTGGCCCTTTTATTTATTTTTTTGAGACAGGGTCTCACTAAACTGCTAAATTGCCCGGGCTAGGTTCAGAACTTTCTATCCTCCAGCCTCACCTGCCCAGAGTGCTGGGATCACAGGCATGGCTGCCACACCTGGCTACAGGAACCTCCCAAAGTCTAGGGGTATGTCCTTGGGCCAGGTGGTGAACACAGCCAAACACCGGTTTATCTGTACAGCTCTGGGTAGCTACAGTACCCACCAAATAGTGTTACTGGGAATATTAAATGAGATGAGGAATGTGTTTGGCATACATATCAACAGGTATTTGATAAACAGCTGTTATCTTTATCATTCCTGAGGATAGGAAGCATTTTTTTTTTTGGTACCAAGGATCGAACTCCGGTCCTTGCGATTTCGAGGCAGTCAGCGGACCCACTAAGCTAAATCCATGGCCCAGGAAGCATTTTGTACACTCTGCAAATGCACCCTTTGTCATCTGAGTAAGTTAATATTTTTATTATTAAATATTTATTCCAAGGAACAATAGCTCCCACTTACGGAGACCCCACTTACTGAGCACCTACTCTAGCCAAGCACTTGTGCTGCCCCTTGAGTTGTCATATTTAGCACAACCTTACACCGCTCTGAGAAGCTGCAATGAGCACTCTGCTTCTTTTTGTATTTCTGGAGCTGGGCATTTAAGCCCAGGCCTCAAGTGTGCTAAGTACCCACTCTACCATTGAGCTCCACCAGCAACCCAGGGCCGGTCCTCTGAGCAGTGGGGCTGCACCCAGACCCCAGCAGTTCATACCAGGTGGACCCGGTTTTCACACTGGAGAGCAGAGGCAGGATTATTTCCACTTCATGGAGATGAAGTGCTTTGCCCAAGTTCACACACACTTAGGAAATACTTAAAAGACTTCCACAGCCCAGACTTTTGGGCTCTAAAGCCTGCACTGAGTTTACATCTCCAAAAGACAAAGCACCGTGAAAAATACTACAGGGGAAACTCGAATTGCACACAGGGCTGCATCCGGGGAGCCTGCATCTAACTGCACAAAGAAGTCCCTGAGCGGCAGAACAGTGCACAGTTGTACTATTACCTGCATTCCTCCAGGTCTTGTAACTGCTGCATGAGCCTATCCAGCTGTTCTTCTAAATTCTGCTTCAATTTGCTTGTCTCTGTCTTTCCTCTGGAAGCCATTTTAATCTCTATGTAGAACAATGAACCTGCACACAGTATATTATATTTGGTGCTCTGAAGAGATTCAAGATATCAGTGTGATTTAAAATTAATTACAGTTAAATCGAATTTATTTTTTTTAAGTTAAATCTAATTTAAATTTAAAGGCGAGGGCTGGGGATTTAGCTCAGTGGTTCTGGCACCTGCCTCAAAAGCGTAAGGTCCCGAGTTCGATCCCCGGTACCAAAAAAAAAAAAATTTAAAGGCAACATTCTTTCTTAGTTCTAGGTATGGAAAAGATTATTATACAAATAAATAAAAGTCTCAGCTGAGGCATTCAAGTTTAAACTCATACAGTAATAACACCCCACAAAAATGCCCATCTTCACTTTTATTTTGTGGTCCTGGGGACAGAACCCTGGGTCTTGTGCCTGCTGGGAAAGTCCTGTGCACTGAGCCAAATTCCCAGCCCCAGCAGTCTTCCTGACTAACCAGACAACTTCATTAGATGTCTTCGCTATATTAGATGTCTTCGCTATTGGTCCTATCTTACCTAAAATTAATTTGGTGGAGAGCCAGGGATTTACCTCAGTGGTTCCGCTGCCTGCCTCGAAAGCACAAGGTCCCGAGTTTGATCCCCGGTACCAAAAAAAAAAAGAAAGAAAAGAAATAGGGTCTCATTATGTAGTGCAGGTAGCCCAGGCTGGCTTCAAACTCACAGGGATCCTCCTACTGTAGATAGGTAAGTTAATTAGATATCTTTGGTTTTTTTGCAGTTGTGAGGCAGGTGGCAGCACCACTGAGCTAAATCCTTGGCCCTAGTTAATTAGATATCTTGTAGGCAGTTAGACAGGGCTGGCCAGCGAGGAGGATTCGACAAGAGGACAGTCAGGACACATTCACTGAAGGGCAACATTATAAAAGAAGAGAAACTACTATACCCTGGTGCTTCCCCAGGGGATGAATAGCAGTGATTGATATTATAAAGAGGCATCAATCACCTGGGTGGGGGCCAAGGTCTCAACTCTCCCTTGCAGGAAAGATCCCTGACCCATCCTTACTGAAAAACCTTGTACACGTGCTATGTGACTTGGTTCCCTCATTGGATCCCCATTTAATCAATATGACCTAAGCGACCATACTTGTAATCTTATTGGTTGATCAAAGTTATGTCCCACCTTGAACCCTGCCTCACCTCGTGGCTTTGTCCCATAAAACACCTTTGAGAAGCAGGGTGTGCAGGTAACCCCTTTGCTGGTCCTCCTTCTGTTTCTTTTACATGATCATATATATATTTTTTGTTTGTTTTGTTTTTTGTGAGAGGGTCTCACAATGCTGTTCAAGCTGGCCTCACTCATGGTGATCCTCCTGCCTCAGCCTTCCAAGTGCTGGGATTACAGGTGTGCTACCATGCCTGGCTAAAAATTCCTCCTGCTGGTATTGGGCTAGTGTGAGGGTTAGGGATGTTGTTCAGTAATAGAGTCCAGGCCTAGGGTGTCCAAGGTTCTCGATTTGATCACCAACACTGGGAAAATTTTGGAAAAACATCTGTATCTTGCAATTTAAGTTTCTAGGTTTTTTTTCTATTTTTGTGATGCCTCATGCATGCTAGGCACACAATACACTGAGATATACCCCTTTGGGGCCAAGGATTTAGCTCAGTGGCACTGCACCTGCCTCGAAAGCTTAAGGTCCTGAGTTCAATCCCCAGTACCAAAAAACAAACAAACACACCAAAGAGATATACCCCCAGCCCTCAATATATTGAAAAAATCTTTTCCTAGTCTAACCTAGGTGTTCAAACATGCGATACATTTTTTCTTTTGGTGCTGGGGATTGAAAAGAGGGGCTTAGGCGTGCTAAGTACATGTTCTACCGAGACCGGAGATTAGGGTGTGGCAAAACTGGCTGGGGAAGTACGTATGACTTGTTTTTGGTTTTTTTTGGTACCCGGGATCAAACTCAGAACCTTGCACTTGTGAGGCAGGCGCTGGAACCACTGAGCTACATCCCCAGCCCTTATGTGACTTGTTAATTACAAGATCCCCTCCACATGTGCAGAACTGCACTTGGACTTCTCCCGGGAATCTCCAGCAGGTTTTCAGTAGGACGGCTTAGACCTGCCATCAGCCGGAGGTGTGGGATTCCAGCACCGCCTCTCAGGACCTGTCTGTAGACATTCTCGTGGGTTCCCTTGAGATTTGGACAGTATAAAACAAGGGCCGCTTTCCTAACTGTCCAAGATCGCCGTGCTGTTTCCCAGATGCAACGTATACGTCTATCTTTGCTCTTATCCTTTCTTTCTTCACTCAGCCCAATCTCATTCTGCAGCACCAATTTTTCCTCCACTCTTCACCTTTGCTTCTTGAAAAAACTTTGCCACTGCTTTTTTGCTCATTTCATTAAATTCTTTGTTGAAGTCAGAAGAACCTGGAATCTAACTGCAGGAGAGGCCAGCAACCCTGAACCTGGTAACTTCTTTGTGAGCTACTTTTAGAGGGAGCTACCCTAAACACTACCACCAAGATACACCTCCAGCCCCTACATCCTTCTCTTTGGAGCCTCCATCTTTTTCTCTCAAGCTCAGTTCATTTTTTTTCTTCCTTTTTTTAAGCTCAATTCATTCTTCAAGGTGTAGTTCAAACGTTTTCTTCATAAGGCCTTCTTTGAGTTCCCACCCACTTTACCTTTTCTTTTTTTTTTTTGGTACCAGGGATCGAACTTGGGTCCTTGTGCTTGCAAGGCAGGCAGCGGAACCACTGAGCTAAATCCCCAGCCCAACTTTACCTTTTCTTTGTAGCACAAACCTGGGGAGGTAAAATGTACTGGATAATTAGGAAATGAAAGAATTGCCTGCTTCTTCTGTATTCCACATCTTTTTTTTTTTTTGTACTGGGAATCAAACTCAGGACCTTGTGCTTGGGAGGAAGGCGTGGTGCCACTGAGCTAAATCCCCAGCCTGTATTCCACATCTTATTCTCATGCGCTCTTAATTTTGCCATGGATGACATATATGTAATTTCATTATAACACACTAACTCCTGAGTAAATTCGGAGAGCAGAAAATAAGGCTGGTTCTTCTTGGTCTTCCCTCCACCTAATACATAACAGACACTTGATAACTGGAGCAAGTATATAATGGCTCAATATTTCATTTATTTTTGCGGTGCTGAATCCAGGGTCTCGCGCATGGTAGTGATGCACTCTTACCACTAAGCTACACACCTACCCTTCATGAGATTTAAAGGCTAAGGTATTTGAGGGAAGACAGAGGCAGTTGAAAGGCCTTTACCTGGTGGTACAAAGCGATCCCAGGCAGACCTGGCTCCCCAGCACCACCCAGTGCTGAACGAAGGCGGTGCGCGCAGCTAGCGCCTCCCCCCGGGGAAAGGCGCTCCTTCAGGCTCACCTGTGCTAGAGCTCGGAACTTCTGCGCCCTGTGGACCGCTCTCAAACTGCACAAACCTCCTATTCCCGAAGTTCTGGGGACCGTCCACTTGAGGAAAGAGAAATGGTCCATCAGGGTTAATTACCTGAGGCTGGAAGCTCAACACGCCCCCCCCCCGGGGGGGGGCGGAGTTGGCTAAAGAAAGGGAAGTTCTTAACGAATTGTTTTATTCGCTGTACATGCACTTGGCCCACAGCAATCCGGATAGCTTCCACTCGCGCGGTCTGCAGCCGAAACACACCCTGAATTCCTATAAATCGCGGGTGTGGGTTTTGTTTAATCTGGGGACGGTGCCTGGGGCAGCCTTTCTGGGTTTCCTAGGGAGACACCCAGACACACCTTCAGGGCACTGTACAGCCCAGAGCACACCTCTTCCCGCCTGGAAAAGCGTCCGGCCCCGGACCATCGGGCCGGGTTAGGAAGCAGCTCCAGCAGCGGCCGCAAAGCCGGTGTCCGCGGGAGAACTGAAGCGCCTGGACTCGGGGCCCGCGGCGGCCGGGCCTGACCAGGCCCCGACCGCCACCAGAGTTGCTCACAAACTCGCCGCCCCCAAACGCCTCCCTGATCAGAGCCGGGACAATCTCCTCAGACCCTCAGGCTCCCATCCGCCTCCAGCCCTCCCGCGGGTCCCAGACTTTCCAACCAGGGGCCCCGCCTACCTGAGTGCCCGTGCCGCCGGACCTCGCGGGAGGAGCACTTCCGCCTGACACACTCACTTCCGGCTCCTGGCGCCAATGAGCGGGCGGCCGCGGTGTCCCCCTCATTGGCTTCCGGATCCCCTTTCTCTCCGAGAGGACTGGGGCCGAGTGGCTTGTGAGGCCGTGGTAAGTTCCCCGCTCGGACCCCCGGGTCCTAGCAGAGTCACTGGGGATCCCTAACTCTTCCTCTAGATGCTGGGGGAGGTCCATGCTGCGGCCCTCAGGGCGGTCATCATGTTCATTTCTCTCTGGGACCAGACATCTGGGTGAATTTGCCTGTGACCTTAGTACCAGAAGTCTTTCGAGAAGCGCCCCGGGATGGGCACCCGTGGGCTTGGCGGGTGGGCTAAGGTCTGTGAAAGACGAGATCGCTTTCCTGAAAGCAGTTTGACACTCACATCCTCTGCTGAGGCAGCACTTTAAAAGTTACCCAGAGCAGAGCGTGGTGGTGCACACCTGTAATCCCAGCATTCGGGAGGCTGAGGCAAGAGGATCGCCGCTAGCTCGAGGTCAGCTTGACTTACATAGGAGACCCTGTCTCTTCCCCGCAAAGAAAGTTACTCAGAAACGGGGTGGACACTGTTTTCTTGTGTTCCCAGCCCATCTTCCTGAAGAGCAGGAATCCCCAGGACACTAGGATTTGTAGCAAGATTGTGTCAGAGGTGCGTGTCGTTGACTTTTGCACCAGAACTGACTTCCAACTTTGATGACCGTGGAACTCTGCAGGATGATTGCTCCTGGCAGTTCTATCTGATCGTGGAATTGTTTATTGCCAACGATGGTTTTTTAGAACTAGAATTTGAATATGAAACCTTTTCTAATCCACCTTTTTAGCCTAGTTTGTGGATTAAAAGGCAATGCCTGTTACATTAATGTGATGGTCTTTAACTTTCGATGTCTGAATATATGTGGCAATGTCAACATTTTAAGTAAAATGCAATTCACAGTGAAAAATAACAAAACTGGAAAATATATTTCCTTTTTTCACCTGTGTGTGTGGTGGTGGGGATCAAATCCAGGGCCTTGTACCCTGGGCAAGTGTCCTATCACTGACCTGTGCTGCCCTGCTGGACCCCCTTTTTTTTGGTGGTACTGGGAATCGAACTCAGGACTTTGCACTTGCAAGGCAGGTGCAGGGCCACTGAACTAAATCCCCAGCCCCTTGGACCCCTTTTAAATGTCTGCCCATGGCCCCTGATGAGTAATTTTGAGGATGGCACTTGACAAAGTGCTTAAACATTGCCTGGCATGCTGCTAAATGGCAGCTGCTGTTCATGTGGAGAGGGACGGTGCTGAGAACGGTGATGAAACAAGATGGACTGGAAGTGGCCAAAGAGACAGGAAGGCCTGTGACAAAGCCAGGAGAGCCTTGGCCTAAGTCAGTGGGAGTGGAAATAAAGAGACATGTTTGAGGCCGACTCCAGACCAGGCACTCCCATGGGCATCACGAGGACGCTGCTAACTGCAGCAGTATCAATCAGCACGGCCTCAAAGCATGAGTGAAGCCAGGCCCTGGTGAGGTAGTGCACACTTGTGATCCCACCTGCTTGGGAGGCTGAGGCAGGAGGGTGGCAAGTTCGAGGCCAGCCTGGACAAGTAAGTGAGACTCGGTCTCAAATTAAGAAATACAAAGTGCTGAGGATGTAGCTCAGTGGTAGAGTGGCCCTGGGTTTTCCCAATACTGGGAGAAAAAAAAAAGTGAGGTCTGTCCTTGTAGTGCTGGAGTACTTTCTTCCTTGCTACTTCAGTCCTATCCTGTTGCATGGATACACTGTGTTTGCTCATTCTCTTAACATCTCAGTTGTTTTCAGTTTTTGGTTATTATCTATCAAGTCACACTGCTCTTTGTATGGACATATATTTTCACACATATCACCTTTTTTTGAGGAGGTGTACTGGGAATTGAACCCAGGGCCTTTGCACTGAGCTACACCCCCTGCCCCTTTAAAATCATTTATTCATTCATTCATTCATTTTGATTTTTGAGATAAGATCTCCCTAACTTGCCAGGTAGGGTTAAACCTTGCTGTCCTCCTGCCTCAGCCTCTCAGGATCCTGGGGCTACACATGTGCACTACCATGCCTGGCTTCTCTCCATTATTTTAATTTTATTTATTTATTTATTTTTGGTACTGGGATCGAGCTCAGGACCTTGTGCTTATGAGGCAGGCATGGCACCACTGAGCTAAATCCCAGCCCTTTTCCCATTATTTTTAAACTGTTGTTTTAATTCATATCTAAAGTCTTTTCTCTATAGTCTCCCTGAGAACTTTCTTCCGTTAGTTATTCACTTTCTTGGAGCTTCTGTGGCTTCCTAATGGGTCTTTCTCTTATGGCTCTTTCCCCTTAACCTAGCAACATTCTTTTTTTGTTTTGTTTTGGGTTTTTTGACAAAGTTTCACTATGTAGCCCAGGCTGGCATCTCAACTCCCAGCAATCCTCCTGCCTCAGCCTCCAGAGTTCAGGGATTACAGCCATGCGCCACCACACCTGACTTAATCCTTTTGTATTCTTAACAAATCACATTAAATAAACAACTTTGGGTACCTATGTGCCCACCTGCAGGATCTCCCAGACTTGTGCATGATTTGTCCCCCAAGGGTGCGTGTCCTGGAGGTTTGGTGCTCAGAGTGGTGAAGTTAGGTGGGGCTGGGACCCCTAAGAACTGGGGCCTGGGTCCCTGGGCACCAGCCCAGAAGGGCTTAGCTTAGTTCTTCCTAGACCCAGTTGGTTTTCAAAGAGGTGTCAGCGTAAAACGCAAAACTGGGTGCTCCCCACCTATCTCACCCTGTGATTCCCCTCTCTCCGCCTACCCCTGGCCACATACCAGCTGCCAACAGCCCTTACTGAGGCCGAAACTGGTGGAGCTTCCTTGTCAGCCTCCAAATTTATGCACTAAATAAACCACTTTTCTTTATAGAGCTGTTTTGTTTTAGCAGTGGGAAGCAGCCTTATCAGTACCTCGAATTCAGTTCTTAGAAAATAGTAGCCTTTGTCCTTATGTCCTCTTGCCACACCTCCTACCCTGGGCTCCCTTTCGTACGCATATTTGTTGGTTTTATTTTCAGTACTGGAGATTGAAGCCAAGGCTTTTGCACTGGGTGCATTCTCAGTCCTTTCAAAAAATTTTATTCTTTTTATTTTTTTGATACAGGGCCTCACTATGCAATTCAGGCTGTCCTTCAACTCACTGTGTAGCCCAGGCTGACCTCAAACTTGTAGCGATCCTCCTGCCTCAGCCTCACTGGTGCTGGGATTAGAGACGTGCACAACCATACCTGAAAAAATGTTTATTTGGAGATAGAGTCTGGATAAGTTGCTAAATTGCCTAGATTTGGCTTAAATTTGTGATCCTTGTCCCAGCTTCTCTGAGTGCTAGGGTTAGCGGTATGTGCTACCACACCTGGCTCACTCGTGTTTCCTTCTTCTATAAATTGATCTCTCCCAAACCTATCCCATGGACATCGTTTTCTTCTCAGTTAAGGGCAGTGCTATTCTTCCTGTTTTGTGAGTGTCTTTGCATTGTGTGATCAGAAATACAGTGAATGCTGATGCCGAGTGCCGTCCACAGAAAGGCAGATCCTAAAAACATGATGGTGTGTCCTCACCCACATTTGTCACCAGACCTGACACCTGGGACATCTGGCTCCTCCCCAGAGTCAAAATGACCACTGAGGGTAAACATTTTGAGTGCATTCAGGACATCAGGGCAGCCACAGCTAGAGACCCTCATGAAAGGGCACTTCCGGAACCACTTCAGAAAGTAGCACAATGGGATAAGTGTGTTTGAAGTGAGGAAAAATTTTGAGGGAGATTCATGACAATGTGTCTTACTGGAGTAAATTTTTTACATTTAGACATTCTGTGGAGTTTTTGATCACGCCTCATAAGTGTACTGTGGATATATTGGAAGGCAGAACCAAGAGGATTTCCTGACGCAGTGTGGGGGGAAAATCCAGAAGAGGTATCGAGGGGGATTCCAGGTCCTTGGCCTATCAGGGTTTGTTATCAGCTGAGCTCTCAGGGTTTGGAGACGCAAGATGGAGAGTTTAGGAAAGAAAGGGACCTTCTGATAGAAATACTGTCTTGAAACAAGATGACATTTATCTGAGGGGTTTTTTTTCCATTCTCTCTCTCTTTTTTTTTTTTTTTTGGTACTGGGGATCGAACTCAGCGGAACCACTGAGCTAAATCCCTGGCCCCTGAGATTTTTTTTTTTAATTAAAAAAAAAAATTTGTTTTTTGGAGACAGGGCTTCACTAAGTATTTCAGCCTGGCTTTGAATTCACTATGTAGCCCAGGCTGCCCTAGAACTTAACTGCAATCCTCCTGCCTCAGCCTCTACACCTGGCACTTATCTGAGATTTTAATATTTGCTCAGTGGGGTCCAGAGAATATAACCACGGTGTTGTTTTTAAGTTGTTTCTGTTCATCAGGAGAGTTTCCTGGTTGGGGTGTATCACTGAGGTTCTAATCGCTAACGTTTAGCACTGTAGCTGGGGAGTGGAAGGTATGCAGGACATGTCAGTGGTGTAGAACAGAGAGCGTTTGTGTACTCAGCTCTTCCTCCAGCCAGTACCACCTGAGCAGAGAAGGAGATGAAGGGCCAGCATTACCACCTGCCCCAAACTACTGTGCCTAGACAGGCTTGGTGGCCCATGCCTGTAATTTCAGGACTCGGAAGGCCGAGGCAGGAGGATCTTCCCAAGTTTGAGGCATAAAGAGTTCATACCAAGACTGTGTCTCAAAAACAAACCCAAACAGGAAAAGGTGCTGTGTGCATCATAACATGTTGGGAGATGTTTATACTGCATCTGGCCCTCTTGCTATATATACTGTTCTTTAATCAGGAAATGGAGCTGTCTGCAGTTCCTAAAGATACCTCAAGTGAGCTACCAGAGTCAGGGCACCCGGAAATGCGGCCCCTGGCTGTTTTCTCTCCACATAATGGGCTCTTATAACACAAAAGCTTGTTAGGATCCGTAATTGGGAGATCGGAGGTTATTTTTACTCCAACATTTCATGCATTTTTAAAGAAGTAATAAATTGACCTTGTTCAAATATGTGGTCTGAATCACTGTGTTCTTTAAACAGCACCTTGTTGGTTACTGAGGTTTATGTTTGAC